CCCCCCCCCCCCCCCCCCCCCTCCCCACGCCCCCAATGTGCCCCCTAGTCACGCCGTTCCAATGTCGACTACGCGACTGCACGTACTCCGCTCCCCTGTGGGTGAACGTGCGGTACACGCGAGGTCGCCAAATCGTCAACAAGACCAACATCAACATCGGCCGCATCCCAGTCATGCTGCTCAGGTTCGCACCTCATGCGCTTTTTCGCGCTATGTACCAGTAGGCGGCGAAGAACACGTTGCTTTCTCATGGTAGTTGATTCAGGCCTAATCATATCTGCGTGCATAGTTTCCTGTGTGTGGTGGCGTTGTTGTTGTTGGTATTGTGATGTTCTAATCGGTGCCGTAGGCCGCTACAAGGAGTTCGTTTATGTGAGAGGGTGAGCTCGACCGTCGCGCATTTCCGGCTGCCATCTCTGTGCATTGATTGATGTGCGGAGCGTTTTGAGTGCGTCGTGTACGGTCCCTGAGCAACTACATTGTGGTACTGTTTAGCTATTGGATTGTGCCTAGTCCCGTCGGCACGAAGGATTCGTGTTTTTGCATCACTCATCGCGCCTCTGGAATCACCAATCGGTTCATCATTTGCTTTCTCTCTCTCTCTTTCTCCCTCTTTCTCTCTCTCTGGCTTCTTGGGGGACACAGCTGCAAGTGCGTCCTGACGGGCAAGAGCGAGGCGGAGCTGGCGGATATGAAGGAGTGCCCATACGATCCCGGAGGCTACTTCGTCGTCAAGGGAGTGGAAAAGGTGGGCAAGCTTAAGGTTTGTCCGCTTGATTCACAACCTTTTTTGAATATACTATCAAAACTAGTTTTTAGCAACCAACTTTTTTTTGCTCCAGGAACAAGGAAAATCGTCCGAACGACGCCTACAGATGTCCTTGGAAACCTCTGGACAAGTCCATGCATATACTGTGCTGTAGCTTACACCACAAATAGGAAGAACAAATAGGCACAGAAGCTACGCACATTTTGTCGGTACTCGTCCGCTCAGTCCCCTCCACAGGAAACGGCCTTTGACCATGTAGCTCGCTCACTCTCCTCAGGGGGGAGAGGGGTGTGTGTGAGGCACTCTACGCATGATCATGCCTGCCGCAGTCTTTTGATTGGGAGGGGGGGAGGGGACTCTGCAGTACAGTATTTCTGTGTGTGTGTGTGTGTGGGGGGGGGGTTAGGTGTTGGGTTGTCTTGTCGGTCAAAAGAAGTTGACGTGTTTTCGTGCCGGACCCCGTTTTGGCGGTGATCCTGGTTTGGCTCTGTTGTAGAAACATTGCTGCCTGCTGTTGTCGATGTTGGAGCGTTGCTGTTGTCGTGTGGTGCTGTTGGCCGAGGTTGTCGAACGGCTGTTGTCATCGTTGGCTCTGTCGCTCTCGCTGTCTTGGCGCCATTGGCTTTAGGTGATCCTGATGCAGGAGCAGCTGTCGAAGAACCGAGTGATCATCGAGTACGACGGGAAGAAGAACATCTCCGCCGCCATCACATCCTCCACGCACGAGAGAAAGTAAGTCGAAGGAGGGTACGGTAGACATGTAGATCGCGCATCATAAAAGTATGATTCAGAACCCCAAGATGACGACGGACACTTGTTCAGAGCGAAGACCGCCGGAAACAGCGGACACGGAGAGAGCCCCCCCCCCTCTCCCTTGTCTTGGTCTATCTATCTATCTATCTATCTATCTGTCTGTGCGCGTCTCTTTCCCTCTCTCCCTCTCTCTCCCTCTCTCTCCGCGCGTACCATCATCCATACACAGCACACGCACATCTGTGGGAGAGAAGTGGCCAAGTCCTCAGTTTTACTACAGCAGCAGTGTGTGGGCTATATCAACCGTGGCGGTCCTACGTACGTCCGATCCGTGGGAACAGGGGGAGGCGGCTGTCGTGCCTTGTACTGTTGTACCATCGACTCTCGCCCCCCTGTGTGTCATGTCGAGTAGATGTGACGGAGTTGAAGCGTAAAATGAAAAAGCTTGACCCTGCCCCGCGCGCTCGGTGTAGCGAGCAAGGTTCGATCCCAGACCCACGCGCATATCTTTTCTTTTTCGTACGGGTGGTAATTTGGCTTCCTTTTTTTTGTCGATGCCGCTGCTACTGCGTCCGTTGCTGCTGTTACCGCTGCTGCCGCCGCCGCCGCCGCCGCCGCCGGTGTCGGCGTTGGTGGTGGTGCTCTCTGCCGCAAGGTCCCGATGCAACATCCACATGAAGAACGGGAAGGTTTACATGAAACACAACAGCCTGGGGGACGACGTGCCGATAGTGGTCATCCTCAGGGCGATGGGGGCCACGAGCGACCAGGAGATTGTCCAGCTTGTGAGTTACCGCACCGCACCGCACCGCACCGTACGTACCGTACGTACCGTACGCAGTAGTAGGCGGTTACATGCAGTTTTGCGAGATGTTGCGGCTTGTGTGCTTGTGAGTCTTCGCCGTGCGTACCGCGCAGTACGCCGTTACATGTCACTTAGTTTCGTGAGCCGGTGTGGCTGTGTCCCCCTTTGCCTCCACGCCCTTGCTCTGGTAACAGCCTCCCCCTGTTTTCCCTCGGAAGCTGAGTGTAAGGACACCACCTTCAGAGGCGTAACAGCAGTGATGGCCCGATATCGCTGTCCCGTAGGGAAGTCACGTTTCCTATGCATAACTCGGGGTTTATGTCCAATGCGCCACGTGCCAGACACACGCGGTGGCGTGTTGTGCTTGGAGACTTATTTTCCATGAGCTCGAGAGCAGCTGCATTCAATCCTCGGCACAAGGGCACCAAAAGAGTAGATGTTTCGGGCTTGCTCTAATAGCGAGGCAGGGGTGCACGCAGCCGACAAGTCAGGCGATTCTTCCCCGTCACCGTTTGTGCGATAAAAGAACGAGATACTTAAACCTCCTTACGTGCGTGGTTGCGCGCATACGACAGGAACTAATGTTGAGTTTATTTTGCTAGGCGAAGCGAAATAATCGAGAAACTCGAGATGCATCCACACAGAATGCGGCGGGGATCATATCCTCGAAACGGGTGTAGCAGCACCACTGGTCGTGTAAATAAAAGTCCGTGGACATGCATGCATGCTGCGTGCCGCCGTGCGTATTTTTCAGGTGGGGTCCGAGCCGGACATCATGAACGCCTTCATGGCCAGTCTTGAGGACTCGCAGTCCGTGGGGGTGTACACGCAGAAGCAGGCTTTGCTGTACATCGGGACGAAAATGAGGGTTCCCCCGAAGGCCGGCGCAAGAGCGATGCGGCAACAGTCCTCGTGAGTTTCGCCGCAGTTTCAAGTAGGTGTCCCGACGTGTAGTCGTCCAAAAAAAAAGCCAATCATTCTAAGTTGAATCCTGAAAGAAACAAACAGATGTGTTTTTGTACCGATCGAAGAGCACGAACAGCAATCGCGCAACCGTCCGTCACCACCCCCCCCCCCCCCCCCCCC